GCACAGTAATCATCACTGAGGGGATTCCTAGACCTGAAGAAGAGTGCACCACCAGACAATGAATATTGAAATGAATCATTGTTTTTTGTTTTACAAATTTGCACTCATATTTCCAAAAGTGTTTGCTTGTCTGCCTTCACATGTATATGAACTTGAATGAAATCCCATTCTAATGTATAGTGTTTAAGATGATGTCAGCCCACCGTTCAACTCATCTGAGATGTTTAGGAGTGTGTTGACCATTCTTCCAGAAGACCATTTGTGAGATTAGACAGCGATGTTGGATGAGAAGGCCTGACTCGCAGTCTCGGCTCTAATTCATAGCAAAGATGTTCTATTGAGGTCAGGAACCTGTGCAGGCCAGTCAAGTTCTTCAACACCAAACCCGCTCATCCATGTCTTTATGGACACAGTGCTTTGTGCATTCTTGCACAGTCATATTGGAACAGGCAGGGGCCATCCCCAAATTGTTTTAAAAAATTTGGGAGGATTAAATATTCATTACAGTTCCTTTCACTTGGCACAATGCAGTCAGAAAATTACCATTCTCCTGGCAACAACCAAACCCAGACTTATCCATCAGATTTCCAGACTGAGAAGCGTGTTTCATAACTCCAGAGAACCATCAAACAAACTCCAGAGAGTTTCTTTTTTTTTCTTTCATGCTGTCAATTTCTATGATTTGAAATAACATTATGACATTTAATTTTAAATTACTTTCACTTTTTTGTATGTAAGTTTCTAACCATGTTTAAACAATATTCATCATACTCTTACACGAGAGCCGTGTCTTTTTATTGATCATTAAGGTTTTTTTGATCAACCTGTTAATAAAAACATGCTGATGTTGTCTGCATGACAAAACTGGCTTACACTCTGCTTACTCTTCTTTTATTTCACTGGATATTTATAAGGCTGTATACTTTACGTCACAGTGTAGTATTGAACACACTATGCAAGTTGAAAAATAAAAGGAATCCTCATATATATATATATATATATATATATGTAAATAAATTATTTCAAATTATAACCAGCAGATTAACACATTAGATTTTTATAGGCTATTAAACTATGAAATACAGTCAAAGAACTAGAGATAGCCTCCGCTTATTATAGGTTTGTTATTGCACGGATGAGCTGTGCCCTTCTCAATTAGGACTTGTGGTTGTTGCAAAATCAAAATGGTATTGCCTCACTATTCGTTCTGAGACTAAAAATAAAATTAAGTGAAGAATTTAAAAAAAAAATGGCTACTAAACACGTTTTTCTTACACAAGGATAGATGTAGAACTGCAAAGCAAAAAATAAATAATAGGTATGATGGCTCCGGCCTTGTTATTGATTGGTGGGCATGTTTTTGTTTACTATTTTAATTTCCTCATTAACAGCTCCTCCCATCCACTAAAAGAAAACCTGTTTAGTATATGGTTTATATTACATTCTTCTTATAACCAGGACAGAGGAGAGAAGAGAAGGTGCGGAGAGCAGAGGAGCTGAACAGCGAGATACCAAAATAACAGGAAAGAAGTTATGAGACCAGGGCAGGTAAAATTTAAAAACTGAACTAGATAAATACTTTCACAAATGAATACTTCATCGACATTCTAACATTTTTTTTAAAGTTTTATTCCTGCTGCTTAATTTATTTTTATTGCATCAAACAAGAAGAACTCAAATTGAACTTTTTATTGTTTACTGTTTATTTCTGAATCATTCTAAGAATTCAACCTTTAGTGTTCATAATGTTTGATATGTTATATAAATTTTACTATAAAATGTAATTTTAAAAAAAACTTTAAAGAGGTGTTGTTATCAAAGGAAAATCCAAAACATTTCAGGGCTGGGCTTAGGGCTCAGTGTTTCAAAACCCTAACAATCCCCCTGGTAGAAAGTAACAAATTTACTAAGAAATAAGAATAACTGAATATGTGATTAAGAAAAAAGC